CAGTGGCACTGGCCATGCGCCTACTATCTGTTTATGTCAGTACTACAGGCTAAAAACAGCGCTCTGGTTTAGTAAAGAAAATACACAACAGTAAAATCATTTACTGAGATAACGTTTCGCTCTGTGTGAAGCTTTATCAAATCATGAGAACATGATAAAGATTTACATTGATCGAAACGTCGTCTTAATAAACGCTGTGCTGCAGCTTGTCTTTCTTTTCAATTATTCCGATACAGAAACGTGCTCACATGGTTGAGTTTGTAGGGCTGATCTTAAGCCCGTGGGCAACTCCACTTAACTAGATTAAAATGCATCGACTACATCTGGAACAGCAAGGCAGCAGTTTACCTGTACACTAACATCAAGAATTCATTGTAATCTACAATAGAAATGAAAGTAATATACACGAATATACACGAAAAAAAAATACACACCACTAGGTTTTTCATGCTCATCATCTTACCCTTCAAGTGACGAGTAAATATTTAATCTCATCGGTTTTGTCGTTTTTACTCTTCAGTTTTTGCAGATATTTATAAATTAATGTACTTAAATGCAGTACACGGAAGAAAATCCACAAGCTCTCGCTATACGAGCATACGTGTGTATAAACGTCACAGGAGCACTAATATATCCGTCACAGCAGGGATAAACAGAGGCCAGGGGAGGATCATAATATTTTGTGAGTCATATATTTCTTATCTCTTATATATTTAACGTTTAGGGAATCATATCCCTCGTGGCCCGGCAAGAGTGAGGTCAGAGGTGGTGTAAAACAAGTTCTTTTGTTCTGCCCTATGATCGTAGATCCTTAAATGGCTACTTCTACTACTACTACTTCTAAATATTTTCTTAAAGATGTGTACTACGGTTTCAGTGCAAGGTCTGGAAGTGATGGTTGTTGTGTGTTGCGTAAACAATGTTCCTTCTCCTAACACACGAGTATAATAAGCACTAGCTAAAGGATTTTAGCATCATTCTGAGACTGCCTTTAAGCTGACATGGGCCTCAGAGTGACACGATGGAAAAATGGTGGGCGAAAAGTAGTCAATAAAGGATCGCATTATACTGTGAGCAGCTGTGTCTATTATACTGTGTCTATTTTTCCTTATATTGTATTCTATTGTTTTCATGTGAGGTCGTTTGTGGCACTGTTAATTTTATTGGTTTTCTAAGCATGTCTCTGTTGACTCACGAAATCGTAATGACACTATTGCAAACAAACCATACCACGGGTGGGGTTAGAACCCGCCATCAGAGAGAAATATACCTAGTTGGATGAATCTTATTGAAGCTAGTTGGCCCAATGGCTAACGCATCGGTCTGGATTTTTGAGACTGATCGCGGGTTCTAACCCCACCCGGGGTATGGGATACCTCTGCTGTGTCTAGATCCCTGAATGCATACACGTGTTAACTGAATCTCAATCATTACAAGAAATTTCCTAAGCATTGGTAGTAGAGTAGCATCTGTTATATTTTTAATTAAGACGCTATTGTATTTGGTCGCACTGAAAAGCTATGAAAGCCATAACTATGACAAATCTCGCTGATTTTTTGGACCGTTGGTCAAATTAAAAATGTGATATGTTTACTCTTGCAATTTTTTCACCTGATTCAAGTATCTATACAGTCAAATAAAAATATTGGAAATCTTAAAATTATAAAAGAATTCATGATAATTTTAAATTCACCATTTAAAAGTCTTTGGCTCCAATTCTTGTTTCAAAAAACGTTCTATGACAACATCAGTCGTTGTTTCAATTTCAAGATTAGGAAAACAGTTTATGATAGAAAATGAGAATAAACACTTTCGTAAGTGTTATACATGTAGGAATCACACAGTACTTGGATAATAAGAGGTAATAAGGTCTGATCCGAGGAATGGGAGGATAGTTACAATTCCAATGACGAGCTCTTCACCGGCATCAAGGGTTAGAAGAAAACAAACTGTGTGATGAATGCGTCGTGTTTGAATCAGTAGTAGTCCTAAAATTCCGATATTGAAACAAGCGATTCTCGGGTAACTCAAACTACTGTACAGATGTCGTCCTCCCACGGTCAGTAACCTGCAAGTGAGCTGAATAATGGTATTCAATGCAGTTATATCTATCCCTGAAACCGACGACGTCGAAAAGTAAAATTTTGAGAACGCTACCAAGGTAAAAAAAAAAAAACAACTGCAGCAGTTATAGTGTTGCTCAATATGTTAACCATTCACGACTTCCCTTGTCTCTCTCACTCTCAGGACTTCATCTGAAGTTTCCTCACCAAACTGTGGTGGCTGTGAATTGTTGCTTCCACAATACTGTGACATTTATTCTTCTCGTGACCCTCTTGGATAACTATGTATGATAATCTATGTAACTGTATTTGTGTATACCTAAATAAACTTACTTAATTGCTTACTTACTTACTTCCCTTTTCTTCACATTTCTGTGGTTTCTACATCATCGTTGAGGGCCCAGGAAAGTTATTTTTATTTACGTCAACGCAAATACAATGGAGACGGTGTCATGTGTCTTACCATCCACCACCACAACAATGGATCCGGTGCAGTTGGACACAGGTGCACCATACACTTTCAATGCTTAAGTACGCTAAATTACGATCAACAAATTTTGCTAGCACCGTTGCCTCAAAAATAGGGGCATATAAGAATAAAAGTGAATCTATCTATTAAAGTGCGGGGTAGGAGCACAAAACTCTTCACCGTAACAGTAGAGAAATTATTATTATTATTATTATTATTATTATTATTATTATTATTATTATTATTATTATTATTATTATTATTATTATTTTCATTAGAAATTACTAAAATTTATGTTCTCATTCAGCGCCTGCCTGAGGACTGAAAGATAATTGCGTTCGGTGAAAAGAATAGGAGACCACTAGCATCAAGGCATCCCATTAAAGCGTCAAACAAGCAATCAGTCCTTCAATTAAGCAATCAGCGAATCATTCAACTGCTCCTAATCTGCGTCGTAATCTGAACGAGGAAAAACACTGATGGTGGTAAGTAGGCGCTGAGATGATCTCAATTCTAAGTATAAGAGCATGTCTCAACACCCCAATGTTCGAAGCAGATTTTATATATATATATAAACTGAAAACCTTAATAATATAAAATCAATAAAAACAAACAAAAGAAGTAGTAGAAGCAACAACAAAAAGAGAGATGATAAAAAAAGCACAAAAAAAAGAAATTTATTTTAAATTCTGAAGAAAAATTGCATGTGTCTGTTACAAGTTTAACGTCACATCTGACAAAATTAAAGAGGTCCAGATGGTTGGTGAGTGACTAATGGAGAGGGTGATTGTGAGAGATGGAGGTGGTGTTGGAGAGAGACAGCGAGAGAAGAGAGTGAGGTAAGAGGAAGCAAGGAGAGAGAGAGTGGTGAACGAGAGGATTTGAGTCGGTCGAGTTGGACTTGGGGTGACTACAAAGGAATACATGAGGAAATCTAGTTAGCAGAAGCTATTAAGGTTCAAGGCGCAAGGCACATCGAGGGATGTGCCTTGATGCCGGTGATGTATGGGGAGATCAGGGTTCTTAATCCCTTTCTGTGGAGTGAGCATCACCGATTCGCATTCAACAGGCACTGTATGACTCCGTACTGGATTTGCCCTTTCCCTCATCACCTAAAAAAATATGGTCCATGAACAGGCTCTCTGCTGTGAAGGACTGATTACACTGTAGATACATCCATCTCTGTCTAGACAGATGACGTTGTCAAAATATAGGAGGAACCTCTGTCAGAGGACACACTGATGGAATGAAAAATAAAATAGGTGAAGATAATTACCATGTTTTGAAAACCCCGTTTGGATATTAAAAGAGAAATGTGAACGCACAATCTCCTATAATCATTATTATTCTTTATTATTATTATTATTATTATTATTATTATTATTATTATTATTATTATTATTATTATTATTATTATTATTATTTATTATTATTATTATTTTTAAGATTAGGATTCGGTGGACACAGTCGCTGTATCATTACTAACTGCATAAAATATTTGAAAAAAAAATGCTTGTTCAGTCGCTTCTTAAAAGTATTTATATTGTTGATTGCCCTTACAACCTCAGAGAGAAGTTTATCACATTGTTCTATAATTGAAATTTTTTTTTTTTTTTTTTTTTTTTGCCTACATGTTGGTTGCCCCTCTTGTCTCGAAGTTTCAAACTGTGGTTTCGTGTTATATTTTTTTTCATTTCGGATAGTTCTTCATGCCTGAATTTATCAGATTTATTAAATATCTTGGAGATATGAATGAGATTTCTCAGTAATCTACGTTTCCTAAGGAGGAATAGATTCTGTGTCTAGACTCTTTATAAGGCCAGTGTCTTATTGATAATTCAGGCTTAGTTGCCTTCTTCTGCACCCTAGTCAGTCTGTCATTTAAAACTAGGGCAGGTACCAGTGGTAGAACATCTTTCATTCAGCACCAGTGAAATATATCTAATAGCCAACACTAGCGCATCTAATACTTGGTACTAGAACATGTAACACTCAGTACTAACTCCTCCAACACATCTTCCTTTTAAATCTGGTAAGAGTGCATCAGAAGAGAGGGAAAGAGAGAGAGAGAGAGAGAGAGAGAGAGAGAGAGAGGGGAGAGAGAGAGAGAGAGAGAGAGAGAGAGAGAGAGAGAGAGAGAGAGTGAGAGAGAGAGAGAGAGAGAGAGAGAGAGAGAGAGAGAGAGAGAGAGAGAGAGAGAGAGAGAGAGAGAGAGAGAGAGAGAGAGAGCGAGAGAGAGAGAGAGAGAGAGAGAGAGAGAGAGAGAGAGAGAGAGAGAGAGAAAAGAGAGAGAGAGGAGAGAGAGAGAGAGAGAGAGAGAGAGAGAGAGAGAAAGAGGAGAGCCATGGTGGGGGCGGGGCAGGTTGCCTGATGGGGGATTAGAACAGGCCAGGGGAGGGGAGATGGGATGGGGCGAAGGTGTGGGCACACACTCAGGTACACCAGCCATGGAGTGTTGTCGTGGACGTGATACTCACTACATCCACCTCCCGCTACTCTCATACACACAGACACACACACACACACACATAGACACGTACACACAAACATCCCTGCTCTCCAAGCGTAGTAAACACCGATGGTCTTTACACTCATTCATAGAAAAGCAGTGGTCTTGCAGCTCATTCATAAAAAACTGAAGACTAGTGCCAGAGGTTATGAATGAAGAAAATGTGGAGCTTGTATTGTTTACATATACTGGATACACAAAGTGGAAGAAAAGAAATTCAAGTGCTGTTTAAAGTTTACTAACGCAGGTAATATACAACGATTACCGAGCTGGTAATACAGGAAGAGCTGGATCAAGGAGTTACGTTCAAGGAAGCGGAGGTTCCTCGAGGAGGCATTCAAGGGTAAGAAAATTCTTCAAGACTCAAGGAAAGTTTTTTCTTTATTTCCAAGCCAACAAATTAAGTGAGAAGTTTCCACGAGTCAATACTCAAGAGAGAGTTGGGTTCCTTGTTTATCATCCGCGAATAACGATATCGGAGAGGACTGCTTTTCGTCTTCTAGTGGAAAG